GAGCGGTTGTAGCGGCCCCCCCGGCCCCCTCCCTACGGAGGAGGGCGATCGCGCGCCGCCGCCAGCCCGACAAGCACGGCCCCGGAGCCAGTGCGCGGAACCCGGAGGCAGGATGGCCCGCCTTTCACGCTTCGTTGTGGCGAGCTCCGCCTCCTCGCAGGTGGGCGGCCAGGTGGGCGGGCACCGGGCGGCGGCGGAAAGGGGCCTGCAAATTTGGCCCGTGCTGGGCTGTTTTTCTTGGTTTGTTGTTTAAATAAGCGTAGCTCGTTCATGGCGGACATTTGAACTTACATTTATATATGAGTTAATAAGATACTTCACCGTAAGACGATGCGTGGCTGATCTGCATGACCTTTCCCCTCGCAGGCTGCGAATAGTTTGCTGGTGGACTGGGGGGAGGCGTGCGGACGTGCTCACTTGTTTTCCATGCCACTAAAAATTATGTGCCTGTGTGTGCACGCATTGCTTTTTTAAAAGAAGAAAAGTCTAAAAAAGTTTGGAAGCCCTCTAAAATAAAACCACAGGTGATGAAATACAAGTGCCAAAATTCATTTCCTGCTTGTGGACTTCCAATCAGCCGATGATGATGGTTACAGTGGGAAATGTGGGATGTATGTGTGTGTCAGACAGGAATACCCACCTTATTCATCAAAGTGATCAATAGCTACTCTTATTAATTCAAAATTAATTTATGCCATTAAATTCCAGCTCAGCTGAAGATAAAGTTTATAGAAGCAATACTCAGTTCAATTTTTATAACTCAACACAAAACAAAACACATCCTGTCTCCAATGGATACAAGAGGAGTTGGTTGATAAAATTAATACACATGTTTTCAATAATTAAGCCAGAGCTTAATTCACAAATCAGATTTAGGGTTACAAATAAGGCACCCCAGCATATTTAATGGGACTTAATTCCCCTATGATGTTCAGCTTGCAGCTTAAGGTTCCAATATGCATGTACAAACAGGAAACACGAATCCCCTCATCTGAAATGCAGATGGAGCCTCTCCCTTTAGGCCCAACTCACCCTGCTGGAAAGTAAAAGATGTTTTGTGTTGGCCCACTGCTGATCCAGTTTAGGGCAGAGGGCGGCTTTCTGCAGCTCAGATGGAATCAAGTTGGTCCAGATGTGCTTGCAACCTGAGCCACCGTGGGTTCCCACTTCAGATTTCTAGAAAGTCTCCGATTCTGAGTTTGCTCTGCGTTCCTCTCTCTCCAGCCTGATACTATTTGGCTCCCCTCCCAATTCATGTGGGGCAATTTTCCTTTCCTTCTTGTGTCACTGTCTCCATTTATGCCATGTTTTGTAGGTTGGTCTACAGATGCTGAGGGCCTCCTAGCCCCAGCTGCTGCTAGGGTGCCCAGTTCAAGCCAATCAGCCCTTAGTTTGTGACCTTGGACAAGAAGTGGTAGATGGCAGTTGTGAGTCCCCACGTGAGGCTTGATCGGAGAATGAGGAGTGACCCGCCCCTATACAGCAGCCAGGCTTTCCTTCCCCGAGCCTGCCAGATGTCAGTCGTCGTGGCCAAGAGGCCAAGGGTTTCCTGCCTCCCCACCTGGGACTGCACGTTGGCAATGAGGATGCCAAGCGGGTACAACAGCAGGCACACCGCAGTGCCACTAATACTGCCCGATAGAAAGGCTGGGACTCCTTCAGGCAAACCCCGCTGGGAGAGGCTGCTCCGGAGAGGCTCTTCCAAGGCAAAATAGAGGGAGCTCCCCAGGCCGTTGCGGATCAGGATGAGCCCGAGGCCTCGGTAGAAGCCCAGGCTGAAGCTCTCCCTGAGAGTGTAGGAATGGAAGGTCGTCAGGATGTGCCTTGTGGTGGGGAACCTCTGGACCTTCCTCCCGTCCTGGAGCACGTTCTGAACCCTCTCGAAGGGACAGAAAACCAAGGCTTCCAAGAAGCCAGCAAACAGCCCGGCTATGGCCCTCTGGGAGCAGGGCCCCAAAGGCTGATTCGAGAGGAAGCCGTAGAAGCTGTTATAGGTGCCAAACATCAATGTTCCTTGCAGCGTCTTGGCCATAAGTGGTGGAAAGACACCCCGGTAGATTTGGCAGAAGCCTTCACGGCGCAGCTGGTGAACCGCTTCAGTGATGCAGAAGGCATGCAGTTGCTGGCGGAAGATGGTCTTGTAGATGGGGAAGGTTGCCAGGGTGGAAAGGCTGCTGGAGGCAGCACCCATAAAGTAGCTCCTGGGACTCCATTGCCTTTTGCACCGCTCTTTATCCTCCTCCATTGTTGCAGAGCATCCGGGAAGGATCCTGACCTGCTTCTTGCTCTTGAAGTCTCTGTGGGAACAGAGGTGGTGCAGGATTGCTGCAGGGGTGACTTCAGAGCCCTGGACTTTGAATAGGTGAGGCTGCTGCAAAGGGCAAGTGGGGGAAAGGCTTCCCCCCCCCCCCCGATTCAGACTTAATCTTTATATGAAGGAACCCATGCATGTTTTAAAGGCCCTTCTGCCTGAAGCTCGGGACCTCCTTCTGCTGCAGGCCTCATTTTGTGAGGGGAAACTTGGCTTCTGAGCTGCTCTCTACACACACACACACACACACACACTCACAAAGCTTCCTTTTTGCAACCTTTGGTGACTTTAGCTCAGCTTTTGACTTAATTGCAAGGGAGAGACTGTGGGACAGATTAAGGCAATCCACCCTTCACAAAAGGCTGCTTCTGTTCATCAGGCCTCTCTCCTCTCTGAGAATTAGATGTTTCTCCTGGGGCCATGTTCCTGAAGCTGTGGTTCCAACTTACAGAGGGGTAAGACAAGGTTATACACCAGCCCCCTTATTATATAAATCCAATCATTCAGGTGACTATGGTCCCTGCTCACCATCCTCCTGTTCAAGCAGAATGAGAGATTCAGGCACTTTTAGATGCAGACAGTGTAGTTGTCATGTCCATTTCAGAAGTAGGAATGAGAAGGGTACAGGCCTTTTTTTGTTCAGAAGAAAGAGGATCAGAAAATCAAAGTTCTAGTATTTGCTCAAGGCTGTCAGAAAATCATGTCAAATTAACAGGACTCCAATGAGCAGGTGCATACCTACTTTATAAATACCTTGGAGCACTATTCCACACCTCTTTATCTCAGGGTGCAGACTTTTGCTACTGGGCTAGTGTTGCGCAGCGTAGCTCCTCGACCACCATGAAGCGTTTTCATTCAAAGGGAGCTCATTATACCCCCGCAGCCTGTGGGGTTTTTTTAGCCAAGTCTCCCTCAGCTTCTTTATGGTACTTAGATCTCTCTTGCCAATTTCGTTACTTTTGAAGTTGGTTCAAACTAAGTTTATTACTTTGCAGTCTTGCAGTCCCAAAACGAATTAAGAATGTTGTCTTATGTTTGGAGATGGGTTTGGCTTCTGTGGATGCTAGAACTTGGTCCCTACCCATCAAGTTTTGGTTAAAATTAATTCTCTTCTGCATAGCTTTGGTCCCCTTGTTTCTTAGGGATGGCTTCAAATCAACATGGTTTAAGAAAGCAGTTGACAAAATTGGTTCACTGGAGAACCTCTGCTCAATAGGCTTTGAAGCTGCCGGAAGTGCTCTCAAGCAACAGATCTGGGACATTGACCTTCAAGCCAATCTAAGCCTAGCATCTTGTCCTACAATTTGGGGATTCTTCTAAAGAATTTGCACCAGCTTCCTATCTATTGTCCATCACAATACTGAAACCCCATAGGGCCTTTTCCGTAGCCAGGCTGGATGCGCTGCCCTCCACAAGCCTGTTTGGTCACTGTAAGGATACCCTGTGCACCAGCGCCTATGCCCACGTGGGTTTTATGCTGCTGTACTAAATTATTAAATCAGCACTGCTTTCCAGCCTCTTCCCGGCAGGTCCCCTCTGGGCCACCTGGGCAGCAGGGGGGAAGGCTGGAGCCAAGTTCCTGCCAACTGCCTTGGCCTCTCCCATTGGGATGCACGGGGGTGGGGGTCCTCTGCAGTTCCCAATGTGATCTGGCCCATTTTTCAGCTCCACCCTTCCTTGCACAGGGTGCACCCAGACCACCAGCCCCAGGCGTAGCCAGTCCGATGCTCTTCAGAACCCCTTAGCCTTGAGAGTGCCAGTACCACTCCACCCGCCTGATCTGAGGCAACTTTTAATCTACCCTCTCCCTGAACCCTAAAGGCCCGGGGGACACTGTGCCCCCTCCCACAGCAGCCCAAGGCACCTTACCTTCCCTCCGCGCTCCAGCCCAGCCCGCCTCTCTGCACACAGATGCAGACCTGCTCCCAGGCACAGCATCCTCTCTGCCCTGAAAGCCCCACCCATGGGGCTTCCGGTGGGGCTTCAGCAGCTGCTTCCTATGGCGCCTTCTCATGAACAATTCACAACTTACCACAACCCTGAGAAGAAATGACCAGCTAGGCTCCAGCTTCACAGGGAGATGACAGAGAATAGGAAAGTAAGACTTCTGTAAGTGTTGGAACTGTAGCGGGGGAAACTCTAGGGCCCTGATTCGCCCCCAGGACCTTAGGACTGTGTAGGGAAAACCGGCTGAATTTGAGCGGGCGAGGAGAGCCTTCTTATCGTCAAGGGAAACCACGCTTTTCAGAGGCTGCAGCAGGGCTGGAAACAGCCGGTGGGCAACTGGTGGGATTACAGCACATTGCCCCGGTACTTCGTTACCCGTCCTTATGGGCTGGACCTCCGCTGCTCTAGTCAATTTCATCCTGCCTTTGTTAATTTCCTCTTTTCAGCAAGGGGAGGGGGCTTGGCTTAGGGGCAGGAATAGCTCCTTTGCCTCCGACCGCATTATGTAAAGTGGGGAACTGAACTTAGTCCCCGTCGGGTTTGCAAGCTCAGAGGAAGCCTCCCTGAAATAAACTCTCATCGACCTCCGCTGCTCTAGTCAATTTCATCCTGCCTTTGTTAATTTCCTCTTTTCAGCAAGGGGAGGGGGCTTGGCTTAGGGGCAGGAATAGCTCCTTTGCCTCCGACAGCATTATGTAAAGTGGGGAACTGAACTTAGTCCCGGTCGTGTTTGCAAGCTCAGAGGAAGCCTCCCTGAAATAAACTCTCATCTCGTTTCAGCCAAATGCGCAGAGCAAAGGATGCCGCCCTTAAGCATGGGAGGCATCTCTGGTTGTGCCAAGAGGTGGTTCACTACTTGTGAAAATGGGACCTGATGCAGCAACCCCCCCTCCTTCTGCCAGGCAGACTTTGCAATTCGTTCAGGGGGCCCTGATCACACCCAGAGGACCTTCCAGCTTCTTTCAGGGTAGCTGTAAGACAGCAAGGGCCCCTTTCACCAGGCGAGCCCAAATTCTTGCTCTCCAACCCAACAGGAAATGCTCTGAGCTGCTTTGGGGAGAGGTGGTGGCGGCAGGCATCAAATTAGAGCACCTCCAGTCAAGGTCTGAGCTGACAGATCCCCATCCATCAGCCTTGTGAAGCCAGCACCCTAAGGTGGCAAAGTAGAAGGTCACAAAGGTACACCAATCTTGCTTTCACACAGGAGCAGAGCGACACAGATCTACGAAATGCAGGTTTGGCTTACTCCTCTCGCTGATTCATGTGCTTTCCAGGACATGAGTTGGGTTCTTGGGGGGGGGGGGGGCACCAAGCACTGTGTAATCCCGACTCCAGAGGCAAAAGAGCCCTGCGTCCAGCCCTACCCTTCACCTAACAAGCTTGCTTCAGGCACTTGACCCCATGTCCCCACAGCCACGTGCCCCTCCTGGGAACAGAGGGGCTGTGGAGAGAGAACCCCGTAAGGCAAGTGGAAGAGCAGCATCTGCGACCCCCATCGTAAGAGATGACCTCCCTCGGGCAACCTCAGTTGTATTTGCAGTTCTTGGCGTGGCACAGCTACTGTCTTGTCCTTTCCAATGCTTGGGGGAGGTTTCTAGCTAATAATGGCTGCTAATCCTGGAAGTTTACTGGCTTATGAGAAAGGGGTTGCATTGTATCCAAGGAAGAAACACATGGCGTTGGGCTGCAACAGTCACAGCTACCTACAGTACAAAAGACCACGTCCTACTAAATTCACCCATGCCAAGACTGGTTTCCTCCCCACCCTCCTTTATCCTGTCTTCACTGGGGAAAAGTGCTATGCTCCAAGGAATCTCCCCAGAACATTGTGTGTGGGAACAGGATCCAGAAAGCTCTTCATTTTTAAGGAAAAGTTTAATTCCTCCTGCTGTGAGGTTCTGAGTAACACAAACATCACGGTGGAATCCTTCTAGGGATTCAGCTGAAGCGAAGCAGAGACAGCAGGAAGGGCCCAAATAAGAAGCAAAATAAAGGTATATAGATATAGATATATATATATATATGTACACACACACACGTACCAGACCAACAGGCACAAAATCAAGAGAGCTGCTGCTCAGAACCCAGCTGAACTGCCACGGGATCGAAGAAAACACCCCCTGGCTGTAAATATCTGTTTTCCTGGAAGCTGCATTTCTCCTATCTTCAAATGCTCTGAAAACCTTTGGGATGGGGAAAATGGACTGCCATCTGTTTTGCCTCTAAAATGGATGCGAAGTCACCTCTGCTGCTGTCAGAATTGGGTGAAGTCGCTCCAAAAGCCAACGAGCACGCAATGTCCCTGCATCGCAAGGTGTGTCAACTCCCTGGGAAACCTTTAAAAGGAAGGGGGCAAGGGATACTCCAACCAGGCCCTTTGGAAATGAACCAGATGTAAGTGGGGGGAAGGATAGGCTGGCAAGTTCCAATCAAGGCAAACCCTAGACTCTGGGCATTTTTTTGGCACGGAAAGGCCTTTCTTTGCATGCTGTATCTGAACGTCTTTTTCTGCCAAGTGATCGATCTAGGTCTGATTAAAAACGTAATCCTGGACTTTTGTACACAGGAAAATACAACTACCTGCCACCTCCTTCCAAGGACACGCCATGACATGCCACACCGGTTCTGTTCTCCTCCAAAAGAAAAAGCATCAATGATTTCATGAGGAGCCTAATTTGCGTCAAAGCGGCTGGTCAATGGACAGACTGAGAATGTGAACTGCGACCTCCCCCACCCCCTTGCCCAAACACTGCGAAGGAGAAAGGAAGAGTGTGGCAATCAAACAAGCAACATCTACTGAACCTTAAAACAAATTTTGGTTTTTCAAAATGCCACCCAAGCAGCAGCATCTACAGTTATAAAGGGACATGACTGAAGAGGTAAGAGACAGATTCCCCATTGTGAGTCCTCCTGATGGCTTCAGCCAGGATCATGGAGATGTCGATCACCTGCAGAGGGAGAGGAAGTGACAGGTCAAGCCCTCCAGAGCCCGCAAGCGGCCCAGATTGTCTGAGACCTTTCCTTATGCAGCCCCACCTGGATTTTAGGGCAGTGTTTCATCTTGTCCTCCTGGGGGATTGTGTTCGTGACCACAACTGCCTCAAAGCAGGCATGGTTGATTCGGGAAATGGCTGGCCCAGAAAAGATCCCATGAGTCAGGATGGCATAAACTTTGGTAGCGCCAGCTGAAAGCAGCCTATGTGAAAGAAAGACAGAACGGAGAGTTTCCTGGGTGATCAGGCAGCTCCTCTCTGAACGAAGGCAGCATTCCAATGTGCGTACATAAATGGTGGGCCTCCTCTACAGCCTTACCGTCCACAAACTTAGCATCCTATGGCTATCCTGCTTTTAGGAAATCCAATTACATTAAGAGGAATGAACTAAAGATAAGGCCAAACGCAGGAGAGGAAATCAGCTGGGACAGAACTAACCACCCCACCCACTTGACGCTCCTGTCGTTGGAACCCAGATGGATGCCTGCACCCTGGCAGGACACTCACTTGTCTGCTGCGTGGCAGATGGTACCACAGGTGTCTGCCATGTCGTCCACAAGGATGGCCACCCGGTCCTTCACATCTCCCACCAGCACCATGCGGTCCACCTCACTGGCCTTCTTCCTCTCCTTATGAATGAGGGCAAAGTCCACGTTCAGCCGATCAGCAATGGAGGTCACTCTATGGAGAGACAGTCCCAGACCGGCAATTTCAAGAAACAGTAGCGATCAGCCACTATGCCTTCCCCTTCCTAACGCTCTCCGGTTGAATGGGATCAATTCCCTGAATTCTTAGCAAGCAAAGCAGTCTCGAGTCCACCCAAAAAACACTGGCCTGGGATGGGCAAGGCTAGCACAAACTCTGCCAGCAGCATGTGCCCAACATAACCAAACTCCCAACACAGCACAATGGCTTGTCCTGCAATTCTCACAACAGAGGTAAGCCCTCTTTTTATTGCGTAGCAATGCCTGGATTGGTTTTCTTCTGTATGCAGATGACAGGAAGGGCCCATCTGCTTCCATTCTGAGGTCCAGAATATAGAGAAGCAGCACCGGAGTCAACAGCTAGACAAAAGAAAACCAAATAGTTCGTTTCTCTAAAGTGTTTCTCGGTCAAAGGATTCTGCGAACACAAGCAGACCCTTGCAGCTGCATTTTCAGAGTCCGCTGATCAAGCTGGGAGCTTAGGGCTCCACCACAGCAGAGGTCCTCTGCTAACGGAGGTTGTCTTTGACCCTGGCACTATACCAAGCCAAGAGTCAGAAAAAACACGAAACAGGCACGTTCTGAATTTGGAGAACGAACGGGATGTTCGCCGCATCCCTTCAAGGCTGTCGCCTATCACGACATCGCTGCACCTGTGGTTTGAGGCTGAAAACACTCAGCTGAACAGGTCTTCGCCCCCAGCCGCTCCAGGGCCTCACCTCTTGGCTCCCCCAGCGTCAGGAGAGACAATCGTGCAGTTCTTCCACTCAACAATGTTCTCCTTGATCCACTTGAGGACAGCTGGCTCAGCATACAGGTTGTCCACAGGGATGTCAAAGAAACCCTTGAGGAAAGGAAGCTGCCCCCTCAGCTCGAGCCCGGCAGTGCCCAGAGACGCCACGACCCCCTTTCCCGCGAGGCTTCGTGGCCGCTCCCTGGAAGGCAGGAGGGGCGCAGGCCGCCCCCGGGGCCTCCTCCAGCAGCCCGAGAGCCTTGGACCCCTCCGGGCGGGCCGGCCCGGGCGCAGCCCCCTCCCCCTGTCCCCAGAGAGCCCCGAACCTGGATCTGGGAGGCATGCAGGTCCATGGTGATGATGTGGTCCGCGCCGGCGACGGAGAGCATGTTGGCCACCAGCTTGGCGGAGATCGGGGCCCGGCTCTGCAAAGAGGCACGGCGGGTCAGGCGCGGGCCGGCGCCAGACCCGGCGGGGCGGGGCGGGGGGGCGCAGCGCACCTTGTCCTTCTTGTCCTGGCGCGCGTAGGGGAAGCAGGGGATGACGGCCGTGACGCGGCTGGCCGAGGCGATCTTGCAGGCGTTGATCATGATCAGCAGCTCCATCAGGTTGTCGTTGATCTCCCCGCAGCCGCTCTGCACGATGTAGACGTCCTCGCCGCGGACGCTCTCGCCGATCTCCACGCTGCGAGACCGGA